CAAAGAGACTACAACCCGACCAAAGAGCAGAAAACAGCCCAAGGTCACCAATGGGTCTTCAACACAGCGAGAAAATATAGCACCCGGAGGCGAGCTTCAGCTGGCCCCAAAACAAAAATGTGTACTAGTTCAGTGAAAATGGACGTCACAATAAACTCCGAAACATATAAATGAACTAAATTTAAAAAACATACAAGACTAACAAAAGCCAGAGGCTCCTGACTTGGGACAGGCGCAAAAAAGTGCGGCGGTGTTAAACAGGTTTTGTGAGATCTCCACCCTCCTCCTATACCTCTAGCCAATGTAGAATAAACAAACACACGGCAATACGCACAGTAAATTTCAGCATAAAAGAAGTCCGAGTCCGATGTCAGAATAGGTAACAGAAGAAACTAAGCAAAATGACAATGATACATAAATTAACAAAGGACTACTAGCAATTACTGATATGCCAGCTCCAGACCTCAATTAAACGGATTGAAAGATTATGTCTTCATTATATGAAAATCAAGCACAATCTCTCCCGTTAGGGGTTTAGTATCATACCATCATAAAATATATGAGAAGAACATAACCCGTATCATGCCAACAACTGGTTTTTAGAATAAATGTGTTTATTTCCGATGCAAAGACCTTATGAGTGAATCAATATTAATTCCAAAATATGCCATTTTTAATGACTTGACAACAGTATCGTTGAATAAATCTGTTTAAAGGTTTGGTTAGCTTTTGTGCTTTGTATAGAATATTACCATAAATGATTGGATGTGAAATACCTGAACGTATAAGATGTCTGCATGTTGATTTATATTTACGAATGATGTCCTTGTACCGATGATAAAATTTAGTTAATGGTTTTGACTTGTTTGTGATATCGAAATCTCTGGTGTAATAATTTTTCAGTAATACAGAGATTTCTTTCGTTAAAATCAAATACGTTGTTACAAACACGAAACAGTTGAGATATATAAACACCATAAGATGGTGACAAGGGAACGTCACCATCTAAAAATGGATAATTAACATTACTAGCATATTCTTTCACATTTCAAACAATAATTTATATATTTCATAAAAGATTCAAAACCATCATTGTGTTAAAGGAAAGAAATCATGATTACATCCACCAATGTAATCGAAATTTTTTAGAAGAAAAATGAAGTGATCGTAAAGAAAAAACTACTACACTCACATTTTTTTTCGACAGACTTGTCAATTATGATTATGTGTATATGCAGACACCATTATCGGAAGACTAAATAGTCTTATATATACACACATATAATCTTTAAAAGTCATTGTAAATGACCTCATATATAAGGGTAGGCTTAAAGAACTGATTGTTTTATATGAAAACTACTTTTCTAATTTTTTGAAAATAATATGTTTATTAACTTTAGTACAATAGATATAAGAAGATGTGTTATGATTGCCAATGAGACAACTCTCCATCCAAGTCAAAATTTATAAAAGTATAGGTCAAAGTACGGTCTTCAACACGGGGCCTTGGCTCACACCGAACAGCAAGCTATACAGCTATAAAGGGCCCCAAAAATTACTAGTGTAAAACCATTCAAACGGGAAAACCAACGGTCTAACCTATATAAAAAACGAGAAACGAGAAACACTTATGAACCACATCAACAAACGACAACTACTGAACATCAGATGTCCACATTCAATACGATGGAATTTGTTCTCTACACGAATATCCACATTACGATTTTGTTGTACATTTTACTGAACCGAAATACCGAAATACAAACACTATACCTGGGTAAACTACAAGATAATTGACTGAGCAGATTTTTTAAAGGCATAAGGTAAATATTTCGGAATGATTATTCTTTATTTTTGTTCACGTACATTTTGCTCTGTAAACTCTTTTTGTTTGCCATGATTACGATCGCTATAATCACCAAAATGTGAATAATCATATCCCTTTTAAAAAACCCTATTCGCATTGTATATTTGCAGATAAATGGACTATAACCTTACAACCAGAGTGCAAAACTGTTACAGAAGGTACCAGTCCGACTCTTCTGTGTAATATCTATAATTTACCCGATTATACTACAACAACAGACATATCGTGGTTTGTAAAACGAAATGGCACGAGTCAGGCCTCTCGCCTTTCAGTCGAATCTAAAAAGTATTCAGAAGGGCAAACAGAAAAGCCATCGCTTACCATACACGCATTTTCTCCGGAGGATGAAGGAATTTACATATGCGAAGTAGAAAACGATGTAGGACTAAAGAAGAGTGGATCCTCAAACCTAAAATTTATTGGTGAGAATTTAAGCTATTTGAATAAGTAAAATGACCTATTAAGTAAAGGAGACATCATAAGACATATTGTGGTCAACAAACTGTATTCAACAACTGACTAGTATATATGGAATATGTCGTACACTAAATTGACTTCAGTCTAGAAAAGTGGGAATAAAAAGGCCATCAAATTTACGATTTTCCCATTTTTGTTAATTTTTCGCATAAAAGTTGAAAGCAAAAACGAAAATTTTTACTTATATTAAGAAACGAGAATGTTAAATATAATGCATGTCTTTTTGCAAATATCCGTCCTATGACGATAACAAGGCCTTACTTGAATGACAAACTGACAAACACATATTGAACTTTTTATTTAAAAAATATGAAAAACAATCTTAATGTTCTGCTGCGTAATAGTTTCATACCAATTCATCGAGTCATATCATGTTTAAATATTAGTAAACAGAGAAATAATAACTTTGTTTTGACAAATATCTAATTTCCCAGATCTGAAGTCGGATTTCTAGGAAATGATCAAAACCATCCACGAGCATTACAGCTGGTTTTACTAAAAACACAAAAAAGAAATCACACAAAACTGTAAAGTTTTGCAAAGGATCAGAAAGAAAGATCCCCCATTTGATTTTGCTCTTGAAATAATGGAGCAAACAGTATAGAATATATGGAAAAAAGTAAAACAGCAAAAATACCGAACTACAAGGAAAACTCAAAACGGAAAATCCTTTATCAAATGGCAAAATCAAAAGTTCGAACACATACAACAAACGAAAGGAAAACAACTCTCATATTCCTGATTGGTACAGGCATTTCCAAGTATTTTCAACTTAAGATATAACACAAATTGAGGATAGATTTGTCAAAGGGCAACATTAAGGGTGTGGAGTTTTGCTTCCTTACAATCTTATTTATTCTATTAAAGCAAAAGTTAGATATAATTCATTTACCAACTCCTACTTACAAATCCATGCTCAACTTATATTAATAATGTACTGTTTTAGTCATAGTGTGGTTACATGTTAATTTTTCAATTTGTAAACTTAAAGTATACAGATTGAAAGAATTAGTCAAATTTGTTTCATAATAAAAAAAAAAACAAATGGCCAATATAGATACAAATATCATGCTTTAGAAATGGATAAATCAAACTTTGTAACAAACCATTCTCATTCAAACAAAGAAATATCTAACCCTGACATCATACAGATACTTGATTTTTATATATATGTCGACAACATATTATGGCTTTCGAGGGCGTGTTTTTCGACAGACACTTCGAATGTGAATCATCTATACTCCTCTTCTTGTTGACTTATACAAATGAGTAGACTTCATAAAGCAGCTTCTCTTGAGGAATGGAAAGAAAAAAAGTATTAAAAATTACCAAAGAAGATAGAACTACCCTTTCAAACACAACGTTCCGATGTATAGATGATGCAATCTTACTTAATGGTTTTACCAAAGGATAACAGAGATACTGTTAAGTCTGCCTTGTATCTTCACCTTAACCTAAAAGGTGACAATGAGGGTCGGTTACGAAGAAAACTTTAAGACAAAAGAGATGCTGTCGGATTTAAATTGTAAACTTTCCTTCTCTGTTGTAATAAACATGAACAACATGACGAGTGTCGCATGTGGAGCAGGTTTTGCTTACATTACAAAAGTCTAAGAGACCGGTTTTGGTTTGTTTCGTATTGCTCAGTCGGTAGTTTATATGCAGTGTTTTCAAGACTGTTGTTTGATTCTTCGTCTCTTTTCATTTTTGGTGTTGTTGATTTTTGTTCGCCTTATTAATTTGATGATCCCTTTGGTACAACATATCGTCGTTTGTGAAACGAAATGTTTTTTTTTCAATCTCCAGGAACAACTGGTGTTTACACATATTTAAAATAAACTCATTAAAACAATATTACCTAAAAAGGCTTTTTTACTGTGTTATTTCGGAAACAAATATATTCATCTTTGAATTTTTTGTAATTTTTGTTTAATTTTCCATATTTCCATCTAAAACAATAAATCCTAGAAAAGTGTCTTAAAGTAAAATGAACTGAAATTGGTACAGGAAAGAAATTTTCAAAAACAAAACAAGTATTGCCGGAGTATTTTAATGGCAGACTCTATTTCCAAGAATAATTTTCTTAATCTGCTCAAGCGGAAAACGAAATATAAACTCCGTAGTCGTAGAATTTAATTATTTAACAATGTGATTCTATCAATTTTTGTTTAGGGAAACCAAGATTAAAAGGAGAACCGAAACAAAAGGACTGTGGGAAAACCAGTGCAAACACCATCATATGTAGTTTTGGAGGAAATGAACCCACCCATACAAATTGGATAAAAGTGTCCAAAGGGATTGTAGAAGCAATTGATGTATCAAGTGAAAAATACGAAGTAAATGCTGCTGAGAAATTGTCTCTCTGTGTCAGTAATTTTGTGCAAGATGATGAAGGGACTTATGTTTGTTTTGCTGCAAACCAAGCTGGGCTAGCATCAAGTAATGGAATGTTTCTGTCATACATACGTAAGTACCTTAAACTACTAAAGTATACCTATCTTAAACAGACATTTTTCAGTGTTGAAGATGATAGGTAATGCAACATTATAATTATATTATAAATTTTGTACAAACAATACACTAATGGCAAATTTATTTTTCTTTTTTTCTTTTTTTGATATATTTTATAGTTAATCAGGATGATTATCAAAATCTTGAAGACAATTTTCATCGACTCGTAGAGTTTGTGGTGAAAATAGCTGGAGACGTTTCAAGAAAGTATTTTGAATCTTGCATTTTGAAAGGTGACACATTCGAAAAATATTTATGGAAAAACATTCATGAAATTCTGCATTTATATGAGGGACATCCCTGTTGCAAATGTACACAACAATATAGTGCATGTACAAAAGGTTTTTCATATCTATGTAAGTGTAAGCCAGTTTTAACCGAGAAGCAAATATTAGAACTGTTTACGTATGATCGCAGCAGTTTCGAACCTAAACATGTAAACCGTAAAGGTAAACTGAAGCAACGTTGTTTGTGTGCGTACAAAGTGAAATCGCCCATATCTCTGAATTCTGTTGACATTACGCTACTTTGTTCAATAATTAAAAGGATTGAAAGTATGAATGTACATCGAGGTATTGACAAAAAGTATGAAGAAATAAGAGAAACAAGAAACTACATCTTTCACCAGTCTGACTCTTTATCTATATCACATCGGGCATTTGAAAAGAAATGGAAAATACTCAAAGATTCAACGGAATATATGTTCCAATACATAACTGATAAACAGTTTAAAGAAAACATCATTAAAAAGATAAATGAAATCAGAGGAACTGTTAGGATATCAAATGATAATTTAGCTCAAAAACAGATCTGCGAGGATTACTGGAGAGACAAATGCGCAGAACTCGAGGTATGACCTTTCTTCATTGAGTTTCCTATTCTAATGTCAATTACTTAGTATACTTAGAAAGATTATTCTAAAAGCAAGACAGTCTAAACTGTATAAACACACTGATTTGACAGAAGATACCTTTCTTGTAAAAACCGGTTTTTTTCCTTCTTTTTCAAATACGCTGGATTTACCTAACATAATAAAGACTAGCATTTCTCTTGGGTCCAAGACATTTTGCTGATTTTTCTGTTTATCATGGATTGAAACAACTGCAATCATACTAAGAGTTCAAAAAATCACATAGGAAATTAAAAAGATCACGGGTGTTGTACAATATACAGCAATTGTCGGTCAAGAACATAGAGCTGTAGTTTTTGGTATCGATTTTATCTGATAAAGTTTATTCAAGAACCACGTTCCGGTTGTTTCGACTGGGAAATGGTCTCAATATATAACAATCAGCACATTCGTACATACTTTGCTCTTTATTTGAAGTAAACATATTAAGTTGCAAAATTTATTATTAAACCATATGGCATGGTTAATTCATAACAGACAATTTGCCTTAAAGTGTATAGGAATTATCAATGGAACAATTTTGGATTATCGATATAATAGATAGTTCTGTAGTTACATTTTGCCATTACTATATTTTATAATTCATGCAAGTTAAAAAATCAAATACATTATAACATTAGAAACATTTTTATTGAGAATGTTTGTTTTTTTTTCATAATGATTAGAAACGACAACAGGAAGAATTTTCGCAAATTTTGCTAAGATTTCAAGAGGTTTTCAATTTGGATGAAGACACAATTGAAGACCATAAAGAGACAGTGACAAACAAAATTGGTTGGTTTTCAAAGAGTAAAACAAATTGCAAGTTAATAGATATAAGAAGATGTGGTATGAGTGCCAATGAGACAACTCTCCATCCAAGTCTCCATTGTAAAAGTTAACCATTATAGGTCAAAGTAAGGCAACACACGTGTCTTCTGTTCTAGTTATATAACTTTCATACATTCACTAAAAAATATATGATGGTAAGAAGTATGGTTATATAGCCAATTTCCTATATTAGGTAAACATATATCAGAAGAAATCGATGGGAAATGACAAAAAAAGGTTAGTACAAAACAAAAATGATATTTTTCTAAAAATCAATCAATTAAATAAACTTTGATAACAACATATCTGCTCATAATAAGTTTTAAAAAGAATGGTTATATTATTGGCCTTATAAAACTTTGAATTCATCTAAAGCAATTTATAGGATAGTTTAAAAGCTCTCTTCCTTTTGAATTTCTGAAAACTGATACAGGTTCTCCCAAATGTTCTTTAGATAGTACATTTAAAAGATACAAAATAAACGTGTTACATGTAATGCATGTTTTAAGTAGTTTAAGAAAATAAACATAGTACTTTAAAACGATAATTGTATCACTAAGAGAGCTGTTGATTGAAATTTTTTTTTTATCCTTTGTAATAAACGATTTTCGAAATGTATAGCGAACCTCAAAATTATTTTTTGTCGTGAAAATTATCTATTCTGCCATATAAAAATAAGAACATATGGTATAATTGCCCATGAGACAAATCTCCAGCAGAGACCAAATGACATAGAAGTTAACAACAATAGGTCACCATACGGCCTTCAACAATGAGTAAAACCCATACCGCATAGTCCATAAAAGGCTCCGAAATGACAAACGTCAAACAATTCAAACGAGAAAACTAGCGGCCTGATTTATGTAAAACACAATACACGAAATACAAATATGATATACAACAACAAACGACAACCACTGAATTACAGGCTCCTGACTAGGGACAGGCACATACAGAATGTGGCGGGGCTTAAACATGTAAGCGGGCGCCCAACCCTCTCCCTTACCCGGGACAGTGGTGTAACAGTACAACATATGAACAAATTATAAAAATCAGTTAAAAAGTGCTTAACTCATCAGATCGATACATAGCGGAAAAAACAAGTAACAAAAACACAGACTGGACGTTGCGAATGTGTATACATCCCTAAAACAAAAAGCCACAAACTACATATCTGAGGGTACTCGCAGTTACTGACAGCTAGTTGAAAGCCAATAACAACGAATAAAAAAATCATGTATCTAAGACTAAAGAATCATTCATTCCACATCCAACATCCAATGGATTTAGTGTATGGACGTCATTAGCAGTCAGAGAAAAAACATGACCTTGTGTAATTCCAAAATACAGGTATCTGCTACTCTTTTTTATTCTATTTACTACAATCCCGAAAATTCGATTATTTGTACGTTATCTATTGAGAGCTTTTTGAGCCAGTAACATGTAAAATTACATGATTTGAAACATCATGCGCAAAATTTTGGATACGATATACTCAAATCAACTAGCCAAAAAGCATCAAAAGTTGCAATGTTGTATAAGCAAAAAGATATTATGATGAACGCATTCAAATAATTTAAAAAAAACTTGGTTATCTGTTATATTTTATCTATATAACATTACGATTATATTTTATAGATGCATTACAAACCTTTGTTAATAAGGTAAACATTTGCGTCAATGGAAATATTGAGCTAAAGAATCTACTAACGTGTGTAGATGTTGAGGCACCAGAAGACGGTATGTATTGGGTTTTTTTTCGGCATTTGTGCAAAAATTGTTCTAGCCATGTTTTTTTTTAAATATATAACTATGACTCATTATAAAATAATTAGCATGCATATAGCAAAGACCCATGCTATCGTACGTTTTCTTATCAATAACCAGAGCACATTCGCTCAGTTTCAAGGTAAAAAAATAATCTTATCAGTTAAAATCTCATGATGACAAATGTTACGAGGTTCCCATTAACTCGGGCAGATATGACTATAATTTATTTTGCTATTATGTTTAGATCCATTTTGGTCATATAGCTCCGAACGTTGTCAATGTGTCTACATCTTCCGTATTTTTCCACACTGTACTACCTAAATGCTCTTCGAGTTTGCTGAATTAATTTTAAGCCTTATAGGTTATTAGTGCGTGTATCTTCCTCATCGTTGCCGTTGTTGGAAGGTTTTATCGCACTCTTGGATTCTAGTCATATGAAACGTCTCCAGGAAGATGTTTAATCCCTTATTATTTTCTTTTAAAGTTATCTTTTAAGTCTCTGATTTCGTCTAACAGTTATTCAATTATATGACATTATTACATATTAGGACTTTCCAAATCAACTGAAGTACAGTACATGTATATTGTTTAAATTTAGAGGTTTCCTCTTTCAAAGGAACTAATTCATTTATCAAAAATTCAGTTCACAATTGTTTTCTGATTTACATTCCCTTTCAATTTTTAAATGTGCTAACAAAGTAGTTAACGTTTCTAAAATTGGTCCAAACTCTTTCTTAAAATAATGTTATGTTTAATGACATTATCCATTCTATAATGTTCGTGTTTGAGGATTTCGATTTCTTTAAGGGGTTTCGGTTGGCCGCTTTCAAAAAAGAAAAAGGATCAGCATGTGCTGCCATGATTCTAAGTGAAATCTAACTGAAAGCGGAGAGTTCATTGTCTTCTTGCAGTCCATTAAAAGGAAGTTAAGACATTTGTATTTTTTCACAAAATTACTTATCTGGCTGCTGATGTTTCTAAGCTAAGAATTTAAGTTCTTCTTTGCCATGGCTCAACACTTGAATGACTGTAAAAATTACATGCGCTGTGAAAGTGTCCATGATCCCTGCATTTGAAACACACGACATGGGAAATCGTTCAATATCTCCCGCAGTATTTGCACAAAAATTGCATACATGTATATTGTATTATCATTGGCTCTACAAACATAGTTTGTCTAGTGTACTTAAATCTAAATATGTTTATTTTTTTAGTTTGGGGAAACCAGGCGTTGATTATGTCGTGCGTACCTCGAACAATAGAGGACCGACATTTTTCCCGTTATAGTAATTCAAATTTGGATTCCCAATACTTATATTAATTATTATAACATTAATAAATGGTAACATTTTGCATATTGTGGATTTTTTTCCTTTCATACTTTAAAGATTTTAAATAAAATATATATCATAAGCGAAACAACATAACACACATTTATGATCATCTACAGTTAAATATGTATTATTAAATTTTCAGGTAATAAGACAATTTCAGTTCTTCTACAAATGGAAGTACCTGATACATGGGATCAGAAAGACATACAACAAACCTTTGGAGAAATACAAAGAAAACAGGCAAATGAAGATACAGAAATGAAAATAAAAAATTATTCGATCGTAGATTTGAGTATTATAATTGACACAGTAAAAAGTATTATGAAAAAAGAACATCAACTTAATCATTTATTAACATCATTGATAAGCAGATTGCTATTAAACATAAACACTAAAAAGGAAGAAAATATGCTGTTGACAATGATAGCACCAGGTGAGCATATATAAGGCATTCGAAATATTCCGATTTGTTATTGTATTTGTAAGAAATCTGCCTAGTCTTGTTTGCAAAATTATGTTTAGCTTCATATGAATGACACTTTGATTTGCCTATAATTTTTAGGTTATTTTGTATCATAACACTCATTACCTATTTCGTATCTTATACATCCATGACTTTCAAAAAATCGGCTTTGAGTGTTCCTTTCGAAGGTTAATCCAGTAAAGCGCTTCGGACACATAAAAGTTTCAGATTATTGTGTTCATTTGGATATATATATGTCGGTGAACGGAATTCTTTGCAAAATGATTCGGATAGACTTTGTAAGATGTATCACCACCATATAGGACGCGGTCAAAAAAGAACATACTTGAAAGTATTACATATTCAGAACAAAATAGTGCCTACGCATGTATGAAATGCGTATACATTGAACAAAACAAATCTGAAACTAATCTTTTTTTAAAACTAATATTACTAACTTTAACAAGCAAAGTTAAATTATTACGAAGTTCCTGTAGTTTTGATGTTAACTAAGGTAAGATATGTTTATTAAGTTATTACGTCTTATCAAAATAAGGAGATGTGGTTTTACGGTCTAATTTATAAAAAAAAAATATGACAGACATGAACCAACGACAACCACTGAACTACAGGCTCCTAACTTGGGACAGGCATATAAAGAATGAGGCGGGGTTAAACATGTTTGTGAGCGGTCAACTCTTCCCTAACCTGCGAAAATGGCTGAACAGCACAACATAAGAGCAAACTGAAAAAAAAAAACAGTTTTAATGTGCTATACTCAAAACTTCTTAGTCTTTATACTTTGTTATCATGATAGAACTGTTACGAAGATTACAAACAGTTTTGCTGAATGCTTCAATGCTTTTATCATCACAAAAATAACCTTTTTTTTAATTTTCTTAACTATTCACTAAAGAGAAACTAAAACTTGAAATACAACCCGAAATGAAAAAAGTTATAAAAGGACACATTCAAAAAATTGAATGTAAAATAACTGGAAAGCCTTCTTCGAAAAATGTATGGTGGACAAAGAAAACAAACGAGCAAGATATAGAAACAACCATAGATACCGTACAAGAAGAGTATTCAGGGGGAAACGTTGAATGTCCATCATTGAAGATCCTTGGTTTTAAAGAAACCAATGGAGGAATATACACATGTCGAGCTACCAATGAAGCTGGAGAAGGAATAAGTAATGAATCAAATCTTCAATACATTGGTCAGTATTCTTTTAATGTGTGGATTATTCTTTTTAAAGCAACTTGTATATATTAAATTAAAAAGACAATATTCAAATCTCGTTAATCAATCAAAAACATACAAAACAACGTAAAAATCATAAAAAGAGGGACTCGTTTGTACTACCAAAGAAAATAGACCGAGTGCTTCGACAGGATAATTTTATGAAGGCATCATCCAGCTATGCTGATCTACACTCAGTAAAAATATCATAATTGTTGTACAATTTTGTATAAGGCGTCCCTCCTAAATACATCTAAATATTCTGTTCCACTAAATATTTTTACCAAATGACATAACAAGTCTTGCAAAAATACTATAGTTTTAGATAACTTGTCAATCTTTTTAACAATCAGATGGACAATTGCTAACATAACAAAAGTTTGCTGCAATCCATTATAAAGTACTTAGTTTAAATATTATCCGACTTCTAACATATATGTCGACACTAGAAATATGGCATAGATGTCAAGTTGCAAAGCGATACTGTTATCATGTATATTCTTTTTGAAATATTTAAAACTTGTTCGGCATCTAGTTACTATCATTGGTACTTTTACATGTTACAGTATATTTATTATAAGTTTCCATGTACTTGTAATCTCTTTCCGTATAACATAGAAAAATTATAAAAATATGAAAGGAGCAAAAAAGTTAATAAACAAACAATGGCCGACAATACGATGGCAAAAAATAAAAACAACCTTTAAGTAATCAATAGTGCTAGGCTTTGTTAATATTTGTTAGAACTCGTAGTACCTTTTGTGATTATTTGTCTTTACCTTACACCGAAAAGACGGGTTTTTTGTTTGTTCTTATTGTTTTATTCATTTAATTTTCTAGTGGTTTTTGAGAGTGATTGTTATGCACCTTTCCGGTCCTTCTTGCGGATATGTTGATGATACTTATTTTGAATTCATTAACAAATGTGTGAAAAAAACGTTCTCCCAGAGGCGTTTAAGCGCCATCTTATCATGATGCAATCTGAAAAGATTTCATAATAGAATTTGATTCGAAATCTGGTCATAATTGAATGGAAACTATTTTTTTTTACATACCATGAAGCTTTGTGATAACTTTAGAAAAAAAGAATTCTTGAAGTTTATGTATAGATATAGGATAAGCGAGTGTTACGTCAATATTGTCTTTCTCAAAACGAACCAATCATAGATGAAAATTAAATAGCTAATATAGGTAAACCTTTCAACCTCATTTGCTACCTTTGTTCGCCTAGTCGATAAATAGTTACCTTTAGTTTATCCATCTATCCGTATTAGCGTTTGAATCACGTAACAATTTTTTTGAGTTCCCTTTAAATAATAAACTTAATAAACAATATCAAAAAGACAATTATATTTTCCTGCAAGAAATTTCATTATTATTTGAACTACCACCTCATTCTTTTAAATTTACAGAAATGTGGATAATTAAGATTCAAAGTCAAATTATATTTTATTACTTACATTAACGTATATGTACTGCTTCAGTATGATTCTGTTCAGCAACATGACATGACCATGACCTACATTGCAAGCATGAATTGCATTTTAAAATTCTAAAGAAATCAGTCTGATATATCAAATAAAATTGTAGGTAATTGTTTTTTAAACTCTGCTTAAGATAATCACCTAAACGTAGTTCTAAAATCAATGATTATAACGTATCGTACTTGATAAACTCAAATTTTTGTTTAACTATCATACTTGTGTTAAATGATACATTCATTTAGCGGCCAGCTAAAGTCCGCCTCCAGTTGCGTGATTTTCTTGCTGTGTTGAAGACCCATTGGTGGCCTTGAGTTGTTTTCTGCTCTTTGGTCGCATTGCTGTCTCTTTGACACATTCCCCGTTTTCATTCTCAATTCTATAAAATTACCTTGGTTATTTAGAATTGAACATCACTTGTCTTCTATAATTTACCATATTGTTTTTAACGGGCGTTCAATAATTTTGAAATAGTACATTGTTGCTACTTCAGAACCGCCGACATTAAAAGTATCACCTGATGAACAACATGTTGTCAAAGGTACAGATCAATCGTTAGACTGTAGTATTTCAGGATTCCCAAAACCCGCAATTACGTGGATGAAAGGAGCCATCAAAGTAGACCCTACTATTGGTCCTTCTTCTCATAAGTATTCCGGAGGAACTGACGAATCTCCATCACTGATTATCAAGAATTTCGAAATAAGTGATGAAGGAATGTACTTTTGCAAAGCTGTAAACGAAGCAGGTGAAGGGATTAGCAATAAATCATACCTTACATGCGTTGGTAAGTTATATTGGCATGACTAATTTTTAACTTTTTGTTAATATGCAAAACGAAAAAACTAGTTATGTTTTTAATTTGTCGACATATTAGCCTTGTAGATACAAATAATGTTGCAACGCATTACGCGTATTCCTCCCTTTTTCATTTTCACATTTAAAGGACCATTGTATCTTAGTACGTGTATCCTGTCTTTGATTACTGGAACTATGACGGGTTTTTATATCTCTGCTCTTTATTCATAAAAGCAAATAACAGTCAAAAGAAAACTTTGCTTAAGTGACAATGACTCGAAAACTCGTACGGATACTGTTTTTTATATGCTTGATTGATCGTGCCCATATCTAAAATACAAATCTTCATACCTCTGATGAAAAAAGAATCATGCATATCAATTCAATTAGTTTATGCTTCATAAACATAGTTATATCGTTTAAAGAGAACCGCTTGAAATTCAAGCACTTGATAACCAAATATTTTTGTATGACAATGTTGTCAGCAGCAAGCAATATCACATGAAATTGATTTTTCATATTTCTACTCATCCCTCTGATCTTTGATGTGTTTTGATTATTGTGATCTATCACTAATACTATGATTGATTGAAATTAGTAAACTATTTGTGATTCGCACGAACAAATTGGAATACTTTTCTCCTTAGCAATTATTTCCACCTTTTCTTTTAGTATATATAACTTTAAGTTTAGACGTGTGGGTTAGAGGATTTGTTGCGCATTTATATCATGTAATAGAAACCGCCACTCACAATGAGAACCTTTTTGGCGAGTGAACTTATTTAACAATTTGTGGATCTACTCCTATTTTACAATACATATACTTAAAAAAAATCCACAATTTTTATGATCTGTTCTCAGGTGACCCAGCCGTTGGAATTTTCGAGCGACTCAACATTGTACTTAAGGCATCGGAAAGAACGATAACTGCTACTAGATGTATAAGAATTCATAAACACAAGAACTAAATGTCATTGCATACTAATTTCTATAAGTATAATGTTGATTTTTCTAGCACAACCGACAGTAAAAATATCTTCGTATAAGCAAGATGTAGTCAAGGGAGAAGATCACACTTTATATTGTGATATTTTTGGAATCCCAAAACCAGTAATTGCATGGATGAAATTAGTCAATGGTGAATATGAAATGTTGGACCTTTTGAAAGAAAACTACTTTGGAGGAACATGTGATTGTCTTTCACTAACTATTAAGACTTTCAATACAAATGATGATGGAATTTATGTATGTAAAGCTACGAATATAGCAGGAGAACAGACAAGCAATGAAACGTGTCTAACATGCATCGGTAAGCTACTATATATTGCATTTATTAAAAGCGGTAAAATTCATTTTCTATTTCAATTGATTACATTGGTCCATTAGGCATGCAACTCTTTCGATAGGACGTCCATTTTTTTGAAAGTATTTTAGATCCTTCAACACATTGAACTAAATGATATCATCTATAATTAGAATGTATAGGGAAGAAATCAATTTATGTTTATTTTCTCTCTATGTCTATATTAACCAGAATGTAGATAATGTTTGGAATCATAGCTCTCAAAACGCCTCTTAAATTTTCGATCATTACTAACTCATAAATCATGAATTTAAACGGTCCCTGTACGTGCAGATTAACACGTGATTTTTTGTATTGCAATAGTAGAATTTCATTCATAGATCAAAAGATCTAAAATCCTTGCCCTACACAAGAAACCTTTATATATAATAATATTTTTAACAGTTAACGGACTATTAAATCCTCGGTAAATTTACTGTTTATAAAATAATGAAGTATTGGAATCACTAGGGTTTTCAACCCCCAGGTATAGATTGGCTAAGCCTTATTTGGTACAACATATTTGAATTCTTAGTTATCAATGCTTTTAAACTGCGTATTTGATTTAATCTTTCAACTGCTTTGTTTAGAGCGTCCCTGATGGATCTACACACGCTTGTAGTTAATTATAAAATTTAGCCATTTTTGAATAATGTCGATTATTATCTGCTTTGTACAATGCAGGCACAATTAGATTCGATACAGTTTCGTGTTCCAAGTATCTGTAAAAATGTCAATTTTAATCATGTTGATATTGTAAGTACATTTTAATATTTTCATGTGAACATTCTCACTAGCATATTCATTTAAACGACTCGGACGCTAAAACAATTTAAAAAAATATTAGAATTTAATTGATCTGTATGATAATGAAGTTTGTATTGTAGAATTGCCTAAAGTCCGAATAACGCCTGAAAATGAAAATGTTATTAGAGGTGAAGATCAAACTTTAAAATGTGTTATTTCTGGGATCCCAAAGCCTCAAATTTCATGGAAAAGGGAAATCAGTGGTGAAGAAACTATTGTTGATCTCTCTCTAGACAAGTATGTAGAGGAATGTGGTGATTGTCCGTCACTTACTATTATCGACTTCGATGTTACTGATGAGGGAAGATATTTCTGTAACGCTACAAACGAAGTAAGAGAGGCAATCAGCAATAGCTCATTTCTTAAATACTTTGGTAAGTTAATATCTTTGAGAAGTTTTTGAATTTATGCTCTAAATATTTGGTTTTGTTTTACTCAACTCAAGTTTTTTATTGATAAAAGCATACTTTACAGATCTAGATACGCTGCAGCTTGGCTTAAAGCAAGCCACAATCAATCAATCTAGAGATACGACATTCAACTGATTTTATAAAATGCTTTATAGCATGACATATGTTGTTTTTATATACGAGGTTAATTAAATATTCTTATCTACTTATGACGTCTTAGGTCACTATTGACTCATCTCATTATCGTTTTGTTTACTTGCATTAATATAAGAACTAAAGAGAAATCCCGAAGATTAATAAAGTCATTGTAAGTAAAACAATATTCCATTTACGTTTAGCTACTAGGGGCTACTAAAATGTTGGACATCTTAACATACAAAAATTAACATACAGCTAAGGAAAAGATTTATGCGCAAAAACGTCTAAATATAATTGAAGTGACAATTTACAATTGCCATACACATTGGGTATGATTTTTATTTGATTAAGACACATTTGACCTTATTGAAAAGTCTTCTATATTCATAAGAATCAGACATCATTTGAATTAAAACATCTTATATTCGTAATGTGTGAAATTAAAATACGTTGTTAGGAAGTTTCAATGGGAGATAATCAATTTTTCGTTCGAAAAGTCTTCTATTTTCAAAAGAATAATGATTTTAGGTTATCTCCCATTGAAACTTATTAAAAACATATTGTAATTTCACATGTATTTTACTGAATATAAGATGTTTTAATTCAAATGATGTCTGATTCTAATGAATATAGAAGACTTTTCGAAAGAAAAATATTATGAAAGCTTAGTTTGGACATTTTTATAGCAATTCAAAATTACTACCTATCACCTTCAGCATGACAATTACAATAAAATTTGTATACAAACTGTCAGATTGATTTTTCATAATAGCATTAAAGTGAAATTTAAATCTTACAGGATTGTTAGTATGCTTTATTTTATCACCTTGCACTTTCACGACTTGACTGTGGTTTTCTACAGCAGTTTGTTCAAATTACTGACTAGTTGAACAGTTTGGTTTTATAAAAAAAAATGCAATTTGGTCAGAATATTGAATAAATTGGAAAAGGTGGAGAGCAACACTAAGAGTCGAGTCACAGTAATTGATCTGTATAATAAAATTTGTATTGTAGAATTACCTAAAGTCCGAATAACGCCTGAAAATGAAAATGTTATTAGAGGTGAAGATCAAATTTTAAAATGTGTTATTTCTGGGATCCCAAAGCCGCGAATTTCATGGAAAAGGGAAATCAGTGGTGAAGAAACTATTGTTGATCTCTCTCTAGACAAGTATGTAGAGGAATGTGGTGATTGTCCGTCACTTACTATTATCGACTTCGATGTTACTGATGAAGGAAGATATTCCTGTAAAGCTACAAACGATGTTGGAGAGGCAATCAGCAATAACTCATTTCTTAAATACTTTGGTAAGTTAATATCTTTGATAAGTGCTTCAAAAATTTGGTTTTGTTTTACTCAACTCATGTTGTTTTAATTTATAAAACCATACTCTACAGATACGCTGCAGCTTGGCTTAAAGAAAGCTACAATCAATCAATCTAAAGACACGACATTGAACTAATTTACGAGGTTAATTAAATATTCTTATCTACTCATGACGTCTTAGGTCACTATTGACTCATCTCATTATCGTTTTGTTTACTTAAGTAAATATATGAATTTAAGGGAAATCCCAAAGATTAATGAAATCATTGTACGTAAAACAATATTCTTTTTACGTCTAGCTACTAGGGGCTACTAAAATGTTGGACATCTTAACATACATTACAAACCTGCTCGTGCATTTGTCATTGTTATTCAACGCAAAATAGTTATCTAAGATACCTGGGAGGATCTCGTTTCATAAAGGATCTCTTTTAATCACTTATTGTACCTCGAACTTATTAACCCGGTGTAGGTCTTTAAGTTGAGTATCTATTTACGAAAAGTTAATCGGGCATGACTAATTAGACACGCCCTCTTAGAATCAGGGGGTCCAAAATAGGATCGGGAAAAAACAGCCAGCGAAATACCATGATTTACAATTTCAGAGAATCAAAGTGCTTTTGGTCGATTATCTCTGGTCAATAATCAGACGGTATTTGAGTGGAAATACAAACTTGTCTAAAACCGGGAAATGTTGGCTGCAATAGGAATTTATTTACAAAATAAGTCCATATCTCATTTACTTATAGTGGCCGTTATTGATTGTAAATTCATGTCGTTTTTTTTGTAGCATTCGTCTACCGTGGAGAAAAAAGAAAGGGGAGGGCGAAAAGCTTAACTTACAATTTTAATCATGGTTCAACTTTATTCTAGTACGGCATACGTTGTACCTCTAGCCAACGCTCTATCTTCTTTAAGTGGCACTCTACAATTGTTAACATTTACTTCAGGTCGATCCTCATTGCATCTCGTCTTGAATATGCATGACATATTTGCCACTGGACGTTAAGGGAGCAATCTATTAATCAGCTTCATTTAGTGATGTATAATCATTAGTCTTCAGTTGATAATTGTCTCAAACACTTTTCTAATTTTATATATTTGATTTTATATTTATTTTTAAGCGAGGGTTTCAGTAGAAATGCATTTTGAATTTGTATTTACATGGATAGGTTTGAAAACGTCTATAATAGGGTATCCTACATATGAAAAATAAATACATGAATATTTTTGGTAAATCGATTCGGTTTTATCTGAAATAAAAGATTTATGGTGGTAACTAAACATTCAGCTGAATGTTAACTCAATAAACGGTAACTTTAGTTCGGATTTTCAATTGTACCAATGCTAAAATACAAATGTCGAATCATAAAAGGGCGACAAACAATGGAATTGATTTATAATATGGTGTTTGAAGATCAAGAATTGAATTATATTTAAATAGTGTAAGGACTTTTAATGTTTAATGATTTTTATGATTTTATTTCCGATTTTTTTCACCAACAGCAAGAAGAACTGCAATAAACGTAAATTTTCTCATTTTTCTCTTTCCATTTATTTTTTTTTAATATTATATAACGTAGTCCACATCAGGGGTTACATTGTATCCTATTCAGCAAACTAGGGAGAGGGGAGTAGAACAGAAAAAAATCTGCATTTAGTGGCAATAATTCATATACTGAAGCGTACAACGATGGCAGTCTCGTCTAAGTGACAAAATATGCTGTTCAAAATTTTTTTTATCTGGTATAGTTGTCTTAGTTGTCTTAAAAGCAAAAATGAATAGAAGGAAACTCTTTTAAAGGGCAACAATTTTTATAATATTTATAAGGATTCAAGGTGTAATACCACCAAATCATAGTACGTCACATCTGGTTGCATACGAAAAAGGGTCGAAAAAAAAATATTCCCTTGAATTTGACAGTTGTAGGAAATTAATCCTACATTTCATTGCAGTAAATAGTTTCTGAGTCATAAACTTATTGAAACCTCCGTGGAGTCAGTAAACATTTATATGGATTGTTCATTCAGCTTGAATACTTCAATTACTCATTATTTATCACATTTCTTGCATAAATGTGTGAAAGTTACCCCAAAATTTTGATTTATTGGCCTAAAAGGAAATCAGAGGTATAAATAGACCAAAAGGGACCTTATAATGAAAACAAAGAGGTCCATTAGTGGTATTTATCATCATAGAGTCATCTTTTGTGTTATATTTAACTGTTTGAGGGTAGATGAGATAAATATTTGATCATTTATTTGTCCACACGATATTCTCTCATGATGCGGCTTGATTTGGATTTTCGAAGAAATTTTGCTGAATCGCTGTAGATGTCGTCTTACATTATACTAGATTTTTTTCAAACTATTGAACTGATTATGGCAAAACTTGACAGTAATGCTTGAAATAACCAGTATTACAAAGGAAAAACATTACAATAATTTTATTCAACAAAAAAGTCTTCTTTAGGTGTAATACCACCAAATCATAGTACGTCACATCCGGTTGCATGCGAAAAAGGGTAAAAAAAATATATTCCCTTGAATTTGACAGTTGTAGGAAATTAATCCTACATTTCATTGAAATAAAAAGTTTCTGAGTCATAAACATATATCTTGAGTGTTTCAAAGCACCGTTCTATTTTTATTTGGTGTTTCTATAGAGTATTTTGGAAACTTGAGGTAACATGGTTACTAAAGTTTGTACACAGGGAAAAAAGGGGTGAACATTTGATTGGTTAACTTACAGTGATGGTTATTTTCTTATATGCAATGAAATGTTATGTGAAATTTTGTCTGTAGTACTGGACAGGATAAAACTTTACTCATGCTAAGTATTTCTTTATTTGAAACAAAGATAAATTCTGTACAATTTTTTTAAAAGTGCAAATTTAACAAAGACTAATAGGGGAAAAACAATGGTGGTATGACACCTCAACTTATTTTGGCCGTTTCATTTATTTTTTTAGATATTGTCTTACCGATCGGTTTTGTTATTTAAAGTTTTTCTTCATAAAAAATTGCGCAAAATATGTGATAAAATCAGCCATGCGACTTGTTTAAAGATTTTGCTGACCATTGTTGTTGTTTAATGATTTCAATCATTTATCTTGTGCGTAGATCGTATTTTCCCCTCAAACGGTTATTCAAATGGTTCTTTAACGTAAAGATAGCGAGGCATCGGATTTACGAAATTTCTATTTCGACGTGCTACTTCGACCGGATGTAGCTGCGTATTTATACATCCGCATAGCCAAACGGACGAACCCCTATAGCAAGGGTTTACTGTCGAACGGGAGACTCCAGAGATGTCAATAGTTCTATACCCAAGTCAATCCTTTGGTTTTGGATAAAAGGATATAAAGGTATACATTAATGCGACAGCAATCCAACGACACAGACAAATCAAAACATTAAGAGTCAACATACAGTCTTTTGTAATAGAAAGATGCCTATACAGAATACACTACAAACCAGTAAAAGTCTGAAATGGCCTATATCTGTACTCGACTGTACTGATTTTTACCCGACCAGTCTGAATTGGTATGAATTTTACTCGACATTATTCGACCCCAGTCTTAACCATACTCGACTGTACTGATTTGTACTTGACCCTTATCTTTGCCATTGAAAATAGTCTTATTAACTATTACTTGACCAGTCTGAAACAGTCTTAACCCATTCTCGACCTGTACTCGACCTATTTTTTTTCAGTCTAAACCATACTCGACCAAAGGTCTGAACAATACTCGACCAGTCTGAACCATACTTGACCAAATAACCTCTACTTTTTCTAAATTTTAACTGTTAAGATAAATTTCTTTTTAACTGACATGACAACAGCCACAATAAAATAAAGATATATTATAAAAACAGATTTTTACATTCTTACTTGATTCTCAAATTTATCGAATAGAGATAGTTAAATCAAATTATCTTATATAATCATTTAATTATATTAATTTTAAAGTTTTAGAGTTTTGGTAAAAAAAAAGATTTTCTTTTATCTAAAAACCACACCTATACTGAGGGTAATTAAACCTTATTAAGGTGCTTCTTGTTTGGCATGTGTTTTTTTTTGTAAATTAATTTTCCTAAATTCCTAAATAAAAACTACATAGGTTTCATGGTTACATACAAAAAATGTACAACAGTTATATAATTATCTTTTTCATGAGGTAACAACAGCCAACAAAATCACTGAAATTGTTTAACCATATATCTATTATTATAATTTGGGATATATTATATACAATATATATCAAAAAGGGATAAAAATTAAAGAAATTAATAAAATTGTTCTTCTGATTAGTGGTGAAGTATAAAGTAATACCTCCTGCTTGGGGCAAACTCATGAAAAAGATCACACATGGTCAGAGAGTATTAAATTCTAAATAACATTCATTCAAAATTGCAACATCCTGTGAAACTTAAATCGCAAGGCCTTTTGAATTCACTAGATAAGTAATAAACGAATTTAAGAAAAATAGGGCTTTCTTTTTACCTGTAAAACACACATGTACTGAGGTAATTAAACCTTATTAAAGTGCTTCTTGTATGCCATGTCTTTAATTTTGACAAAATTTATTTAAATTTAATTGAAATAAATTTTTACTGTAACTTTGGAACAGATTTCCTTTTTTAAAAGTTTATCACAGGATTACTATAGAAGTTCTATTATCATGATTATATTAAATTCTTGGTTTAACAAAACAAAGGTGTCATTTTTAAAATTTATTAAGTTGCTTTATATGCTTTTTTATATATATTTAAATTAAAAAAATGTTCACTGCATTATTAACTAAACTCAACTGACACCATAAATCTATACGAGGCTTCAGTTAATGGTGAAAATTGACCAGTAACCATAAAATATATCTGAAACATTAAAAAAATTTTGAATAACATTGAAAATATTAGTCACAATTTAGTTTTGAGATTATTTGATCAGCTTGTTTTATTTTTATTTTAAAGGTGATATATATGTATGTATATAAGTGTTGATGAATATGGTGATGAAGTTATATTATGTTTATTGTGAAATTTTGGTTTCAATGCTATATTGAATACATTTTTAATTTCAAATTATTGTTCAAATTTCTAGCCAGGGGAAATAGCTGTTGTTAAAAACAGTTCCTAAATTGATGAAATACAATAGATAGATACAAAAAATAGGTCTAGGTTGGTTAAGACTTGGTCGAGTATGGTTCAGACTAGGTCGAGTATGGTTCAGACTAGGTCGAGTATGGTTCAGACTAGGTCGAGAATGGTTCAGACTAGGTCGAGCATGGTTCAGACGCGTATAAAATGGTTAAGTACTGGTCGAGTAAGGTCGAGTACAATTCAGACTGTTAAGTATGGTTCAGACTACAGTCGAGTATTATCAAGTAAATTTCAGACCAATTCAGACTGGTCGAGTAAAAATCAGTACAGTCGAGTACAGATATAGGCCATTTCAGAATTTTACTGGTTTGTAGTGATAATAAACTCAAAAACGCCCAATGACTAAAAAATACGAAGTTAATTAAAAATATTTACTGTCAAAGATATCATAACAGGCACATTTAGCTTAATATTATTACCCGTTTAAGATATCCCAACAGACACAAGTGTGTGGTTGAAAAATATCACCTGCCCTTTTTTAATTTCGATCAGTGGAAATCAAAGAAGGTGTAATATAAACCAGTAGAAGAAAAACATATCACTATATAGTAACGATAATATAAATGATGATAATGGATGGCTGTTTAACGTCCAGCGGCAAATTAAATGCATATTCAGGACGACAACATGTAAATATAATATGAATATTAACCCTGATTTGTACTAGACCGACACGCTGAGCCGGGAATGTTAACGTGTAAGTTCACAAGGTAATAGTTCGCAGGAAGAAAAGTACACCTACCCGGACACATTTCGAACTCCGAGTTTTTGCTCAAATACTGCGTGATTAGCGTTGAAACAGCAAATACCAATTTAAACGTCCTTGTTTGACCCGGTCGGGGTTCGAAGCAACTACCTCACACTCTCAAGGCGAACACGCTCCCACGAGACCAATCAAGAGGTTGGTAGCATAGGGTATCATACCAAAAAGTCAAGTGCAATAAACAATACAATTTCACAGAATTCTCACAGTAACTAAAGCGAGCTAAAAGTATCTAACCTAAATTAGAACGTTAAATGATATTAGAAACTACACGTAAATATCGATGGCTGACTTCAGAGTTGATTTCATGGAACAAAGCTCTCTGCAAATTAAAAACTCTTGCACAAATTATTTGAGTGGTCCAGGAGAGGCCAGCTGTTGCAAGGCTAAATTTCTGTCCTTATCCAATATACCCTCATTTCCAGTGGTATAAAGTAAAATAACAAAAATACCCCGAACTCCAGTTTCACATCCAACCTCACTGTCGACATCATATTGCAAGACCTACCTATTGTATTTAAAATTCATGTGTTCTCGTCATGGACATGCATGAAATATTTGCCACTGGACGTAACATAAACAACAATCAATTAACTTCATAAATTATTCCATGTACCTAGTACACGAAGACAAGATCTTGTACAATGCTATAAAAGAAATGTAAGATTTCCATTTAAATCACTCAATAAATGTGCAAAATGTTTTATGTTTTTTTTCCAATTTACTACATGACTGAACTCTACTAATTTAAAAATTTTTTTTTACTATGGTTTATATCTACTGTTTTATTAAGATTTGTAGTATATGATTATGTCAGGCAAATATAAAAATAAGAAAGGTAAACATCTTTTTTCCAAGGGGTAATACATTGTATTTCAATTTAAGAATGATGATCAACCTTGCGAACATATATTATCTATGTACACATTTTGATCGAAGACTCAAACCTACATAACTTGATTCTAATGATGTTACATTAAGGCTATTTAAATACGATTTTATTCTTTGAAGTTTACAGGCATAGTTTTTTGTTTAAAAAAAAACAAACTAAACAAGATTTATTAATTAATTGGACTGAACAGACAACACTAACAATTTTGCATTTGCATGTTACGTTGTGTAAGAAAATTACAGAATCAAAACCAAAATGAACATATACCTGAATAATATACCTGAATATTATGAAGGACATTTTGCATCTAGGTCTGTTCGATTAGAAGTTGCGAAACAAGCTGTTTAAAAAACTAATTGTTGGCAAAGTTTACGAATTGTTTTCATATGGTCTGGTCTTTACGAATCTATTTCATGACAGATTAAACACATCAAATATATATAACAAGCAGTTCCGAACATTCATTGATCAGTTGTAAATGAGGTTTGTATAGAGTTTTTATTTACTCATTTATAAAATTAATAAAATCGTTATTTTTAAAAGTTGGAATTCAAAAATATATAAATTTACCTCTTAATTTTATAAAACTATCCTGTAGTGTTATTTTAATGCTTAAACAGATATAAAACTGATTTTTGAATAATGTCGATTATCATTTGCTTTCTACAAAGCAGGCGCAATTAGATTCGATACAGTTTCGTGTTCCAAGTATCTGTAAAAACAGTCAATTTCAATCATGTTGATATTGTAGGTACATTTTATTATTTTCATGTGAACATTCTCACTAGCATATTCATTTTAACGACTCGGACGCTAAAACAATTTAAAAAAAAATATTAAAATTTAATTGATCTGTATAATGATGAAATTTGTATTGTAGAATTACCTAAAGTCCGAATAACGCCTGAAAATATAAATGTTATTCGAGGTGAAGATCAAACTTTAAAAAGTGTTATTTCTGGGATCCCAAAGCCTCGAATTTCATGGAAAAGGGAAATCAGTGGTGAAGAAACTATTGTTGATCTCTCTCTAGACAAGTATGTAGAGGAATGTGGTGATTGTCTGTCACTTACTATAATCGACTTCGATGTTACTGATGAGGGAAGATATCTCTGTAACGCTACAAACAACGTTGGAGAGGAAATCAGCAATAGCTCATTTCTTAAATACTTTGGTAAGTTAATATCTTTGAGAAGTTGTTGAATTTATGCTCTAAATATTTGGTTTTGTTTTACTCAACACAAGTTTTCAATTTATAAAAGCATACTCTACAGATCTAGATAAGCTGCAGCTTGGCTTTAAGCAAGCTACAATCAATCAATCTAAAGATACGATATTCAACTGATTTCATAAATTCTTTATAGCATGACATATGTTCTTTTTATATACGAGGTTAATTAAATATTCTTATCTACTTAGAATCATGTGTATAACAGTGTAGACGAGACCATTGATTGGCGCGCTAAAATATCCCATTGACTGGGTCAGATTAGGTGAACGTTCGTCTGTAACGCCCACTATTCACTACGTATATATTATAGACATTTAAACTGTGGGGTCACCAAAGGGTCTCAACGCCTAAATAAAATAATTCGAAAAACTAATCAGGAATAACCTTTGTGTTTTGATTTATATTGAATACTTAAACGTTCTTTACTTGTGTTTTTGTTATGTTTTGATAGTCAATTTTTATGATATCGCACGTTCTTTCAGCAAAAAAAAAAGGGGATTTAACTGGCTTTAAAAGTTACAATGCATGTGTTGATTATTATCTTTATTTCGGACGTCAAAGCGATTTAACAATTGTGGTTGTCCAATTATGTCATCTTTTAACTTTATCTGGTCAAAACTTTATTTTAGAACGAATGCATGATCAACTTTAAAAAGTGTGCAAACACAAAACATATAGACAAAATATACTTCTGTCCTGTCTTTTTCGTACTTGCAAGTTATTAGACAGTAAAAAAGCTATTTGGATCAAGCCTTGTGAAATTTGCATTTACGTTTTTGAATAGGTAAAATGTATAGTTTGGTGAACTTTTCTGCTAACTACTATACTAGTACTTTGTGAAAAATCCTTGGCAATAGAAACATATTCAGCTTTTTTTTTAATCGACCCAATTCACATAGTAATGGACGACTTCGTACATTTTATGATCGCAAATAAAATATGTATATAATATACTGTGCACTGTAGTTCGTATATTCATTTTTTCTTTTGTTAATGGATTTTCCCGTCTTTCTGGGAGTGATTATTTGTTATTGACTCCTTCAGCTTACTCGCAAATAATTCAAAACCAAGACTTGCATTATAAAAATGTCCAAACAAACCTTGATTTTCCTTTTTTTTAAACATACATCTCAGCCACAGATAAGGACTTAAATTCGCCAGGTCTTTAATTTCAAGTTAGTGAGTTGACCAAAGTAACATTGCGGACCATTTGGCAGTTTCCATGCGGTATCCGTGTTTTTTCACTCGCTCTGTTCTGCATCTACTCAACTTTCGTGTTTGTCATGACAAGGACATTTGAAGCTTTCATGCTATACAGTGTGTGTTTTGCTTATTGTTGAAAGTCGTACGGTGACCTATATTGCTAACGCCTGTTGACCACTGGAAGGGATTGATTGTCTATCACACCACATATTCTTATTTTTATATGCAGTTATATGATTTATCCATAATAAAATTGAGAATTGAAACGGGGAATGTTCAAAGAGACAACAACCCGACAAAAGAACAGAAAATTTGTTTTTCGTTAATTGTTTTGTTGTAGATTAGGCCGTTGGTTTTCTCAATTAAATTGTTTCATATTTTTCATGTCGGGGACTGTTGTAGCCGACTATACGGTATGGGTTTTTCTCATTGTTGAAGGCCGTACGGTTGCCTATACTTGCTTACATCCACTTCATTTGAACTTTGGTGGATAGTTGTCTTATTAGCAATCATACCACATCTCCTTATTTTTATGTAAAGTTGTATCAATTGTGACTTTAGATACATTGGTGTATTGATATTTGTTTGCGTAACGTCTAGTGTCAAGTTTGTCATGCATGTTTAGGACTATTAAATATATTGCAGATAGTTTCGTAATTAAACGGCTTTAGATCTGTTGTACGACAATAATACATAAAAACATAAAAGGTAGGAAAATTAAGAGACCACAACAACAAAGACCATCGAGTCTTGTCCATAAATAGTAAAATAGACGTTAAATCAACAATGAACAACACAAAACCCGAATAGCCGGACGTTTGGCTGAAAATTTAGTGGGGCTAATCCAGTTTAACATGCAATCCCTTCCTGGCTAGACTTGGTGCAGGCACACAATCCAGTGGGTTAAATCAGTAAAACATGCACCCTCCCCAGCCTGACTTTGGCACAATATGTAGCGGTGTATTGCTGTGTGTTTGTTTAATCTACATAGGCTAGAGGTATAGGGGGAGGGTTGAGATCTCACAAAACATGTTTAACCCCGCCGCATTTTTTGCTCCTGTCCGAAGTCAGGAGCCTCTGGCCTTTGTTAGTCTTCATTTTGTATGTTTTTTAATTTTAGTTCATTTATTTGTTTAGGAGTTCAGTGTGACGTCCATTTTCACCTAACTAGTACACATTTTTGTTAAAGGGCCAGCTGATGTGCGCCTTCGGGTGCGAGATTTTCTCGCTGTGTTGAAGACCCATTGGTGGCCTTCGGCTGTTTTGTTTACTAGATGTGGTCGGGTTGTTGTCTCTTTGAAACATTCCCCATTTCCATTCTCTATTTTAACATGTAACCTTTCAATCTTTTTTTTGTCTGTATTGACTATATTTGTCAATGAACAATAAAAGAAAAATAAACTTCACAATGCAGCTTCCAACAGGATTACAACAAGAACATAAATTTTAAAAATGCGGTCAAAAGTCAAAATTTGCTCGCAGCGGAATCATGCAACAGCTTGATATTCATTTGAAATAAAATAATTGTAATGATTTACACAACGTTACTTTTTCCAATATAAACATTCAAATTATTTTGTTTTTTGTTGTTTTTGATTAATATCAACATCTTTACAAAGACCACATTCTGACTTCGATATTTAGGAGACCATAAAAGCGATGTTCATTATATTTCTTCTGGTGTACGTTTAACTTAGTTATTTTGTGTCATGAATTGGTATTGATGTCCCTCGTATGTTTTTAAATATGAAGAAAGGGGTAGTCCGGTTTTCTTATACGTCAATGAGACACACAAAAAAAAACGACAAATAAAATAAAAAAAGGGGCAACATCCATTCTTCAACAAAAGAATACATCACAAGAATATACGTTTTGTAAGAAAAAGACCAAATTCGTGAAACGTGGTGTAGGACTTGAATAGCCAAGACAAACTGATAAATATTTTGAATGAATGAATCGATTTATGTAAAAAAAAATCAAGGTATTAAACGAAAAAAAATGATTTTTTAATTATCCGGAACTATTCACAAACAAAACCTACATGTATGCATTGAATAAATAGTAGGCCACTCTTTTAAAATGATTACAACGTAGAAGTACTTATGTGATGGCATACAAAAATATTTAAAACAAATCTTTTAAAGTTTTGTGAAAAGAAAGTTTCATTTTATGTATCGAAATGTGTAACAAGTGATCATTATTTAAATCCCTACTGGAAGGCCTCTGACAGACTGAGTGAGCGAAAATCATTGTTATCTATAGCCAATGACAAACAAGTTAAAGGTAAATTATTCAGTATTATTACCAACAAAAGTTTTACGGTTGTCTACGCTGTTATGAAAACGATTCTATGACGTCTTAGGTCACTATTGACTGATCTCATTATCGTTTTGTTTACTTAAATAAATATATGAACTTAAGTGAAATCCCGAAGAATAATGAAATCATTGTAAGAAAAACAATATTCCATTTACGTTTAGCTACTAGGGGCTACTAAAATGTTGGACATTTTAACATACAAGAATTAGCATACAGCAAAGGAAAAGATTTATGCGTAAAAACGTCTAAATATAATTGAAGTGACAATTTACAATTGCCATACACATTGGGTATGATTGTTTTGTTATTAAGACACATTTGACCTTAAATGCAGCCAATGTATTTTTTTACTTCCATACACTCTGGGCAATCAGATGGACACAAATTGACATCACGAGTTTCGAATATATATTAAAAAGCAATATAAACACTGATTTTAAATGTTTCGCACTTTTGAATAATACCGATTATTATTTGATTTGTACAAAGCAGGCACAATTAGATTCTATACAGTTTCGTGTTCAAAGTATCTTTAAAAAAGTCAATTTCAGTCATGTTGATATTGTAAGTACATTTTAATATTTTCATGTGTACATTATCACTAGCATATTCATTTGTATTGTAGAATTACCTAAAGTTCGAATAACGCCTGAAAATAAAAATGTTATTCGAGGTGAAGATCAAACTTTAAAAAGTGTTATTTCTGGGATCCCAAAGCCTCGAATTTCATGGAAAAGGGAAATCAGTGGTGAAGAAACTATTGTTGATCTCTCTCTAGACAAGTATGTAGAGGAATATGGTGATTGTCCGTCACTAACTATTTTCGACTTCGATGTTACTGATGAGGGAAGATATTTCTGTAACGCTACAAACGAAGTTGGAGAGGTAATCAGCAATAGCTCATTTCTTAAATTCTTTGGTAAGTTAATATCCTTGATAAGTTGTTGAAAGTATGCTCTAAATATTTGGTTTTGTTTTACTCAACTCAAGTTTTCATTGATAAAAGCATACTTGACAGATCTAGATACGCTGTAGCTTGGCTTAAAACAAGCAACAATCAATCAATCTAAAGATACGACATTCAACTGATTTCATAAAACGCTTTATAGCATGACATATATAGATATAAGAAGATGTGGTATGAGTGCCAATAAGAGAACTCTCCATCCAAGTCACAATTTGTAAAATCAAACCATTAAAGGTCAAAGTACGGCCTTCAACACGGAGCATTGGCTCACACCGAACAGCAAGCTATAAAGGGCCCCAAAATGACTAGTGTAAAACCATTCAAACAGGAAAACCAACGGTCTAGTCTATATGAAAAACGAGAAACGTGAAACACTTATAAACCACATCAACAAACGACAACCAATGAACATCAGGTTCCTTTTGTTCAATTTATATACGAAGTTAATTATATATTCTTATCTACTCATGACATCTTAGGTTTCTATTGACTCATCTCGTTATCGTTTTGTTTACTTAAATACATATATGAACTTAACGGAAATCCCAAAGATAAATGAAATCATTGAAAGTAAAACAATATTCTTTTAACGTCTAGCTACTAGGGGCTACTAAAATGTTGGACATCTTAACATACAAAAATTAACATACAGCAAAGGAAAAGGTTAATGCGTAAAAACGTCTAAATATAATTGAAGTGACATTTTACAATTGCCATACACATTGGGTATGATTTTTTTTTTATTAAGACACATTTGACCTTAAATGCAGCCAATGTATTTTTATTTAGGTTTGCTTCCAAACACTCTGGACAATTAGAGGACACAAATTGACTTCACGAGTTTAGGTTACAATAAACCATTAGATTTAATGGGCGCAACCATTTTATGAAGATAACATGGTATTCAGAATCAAGAGTATGGCTAACCCTGAATGGTCGTTGTGTGCACCGATATTTTTTATTACTAGATACTTCGTCCGTTCTGCATTATACCAATGGCAAAATAATATATTTTCCTTAGCCCTAAGGCATAAGAAGTCTTTTCTACGCTGCGACGAGATACGTATTTTTAAGTGCAGAATTGATAGGCAAGGGAGATAAGTACAAATTGCGCTAAGAAAAGCAACGGGAACCTATATTTTTTGGACTAAAGAATACTGTCCGAATAATTTTTCTTTAATTCTACCAAGGCTTTGTTCTAAAAATCAACTTTCTAAAGTCTGTATCTCGAAAAAGGCTACTCTTGTCGCCTAAGGGGAAATCAATTGTTGTTTGCAATCTATAGAATATAAATTAAAATGCAATATAAACACTGATTTCTAACTGTTTCACATTCCGCAAAGACCAGAAATACTGATTAAACCTTACGCGAAATGTGAAGTGGAAGGATTTAATCAAACGATAGTATGTCGCATGTCTGGGACACCTACACCAAAAATCATATCTTGGACAAGGACAACAAACGCGGAAGAAATACCAGTGGATCTTACATCATACAAGTAGTCTGGTGGAACTGCTGGTTGTCCATCTTGACCATCAAAAGTTTTAATGAGGCAGACGATGAAAGATACCGTTGTCGAGCCAATAACGAGGCTGGAGAAGGACTTACGTTATGGGGTTTTCTCATTGTTGAAGGTCGTACGGTTGCCTATAATTGCTTACATCCACTTCATTTGAACTTTGGTGGATAGTTGTCTCATTGGCAATCATACCACATCTCTTTATTTTATTATTAGTAATGAAGTGTACCTTACAACAGAAGTAACAAGTTTTAAGCTGTTACTGTGACTTGACTATAGGTGTTGCTGTTTACCTTTACCTATTGTTCAACCAGATTGTAAAATTGACAATACAATTGGGACATTTGAATTGACCAGTTGATATTGTTAGAATTGATGACTAGATGATCATTCATGCATTTAGAGTCTACCTGGATGCTGTCCCATTTCTTAACCTGTTTAATTGTAACTGTTGTAGTGTAACTGGGATAGGTCTGTCAAAAGTTATCAATGTGGTAAAGGAAATCCAACCACTCATAGTATTTGGCCCTGAAAACATTTAGAGGAAATGTAGTTCATTGTATGACATGCAATTAAATACCCTGCAATAAAAATACATATCCATTCTCGTTCTGGTTTGCACACTCCTAATTTTTGAAATGACAGTTAAAATAAAAATCTCTCTTTTTCTTTCTAAATTTTGTGTTCCTTTGGCAATTGTATGGCCGATTACTTCAAGGAATACATTCATTTCAATGTTTATTTCCTTTACTTGTATTAGGATTCTCTAATGAAAAACATGGGGAAATGAATTTTTAAAAACAAACAGCAGTTTTAACAAATAGTAGAACATGAAAAAAGTTTGCATCTTGTGGTCATGCTCTAGCTTTATTCGTACCACGTATATTGTTGAAAAGACCTCTTTTATCTCTTTGGCTTTTTCTAATGGGAGATAACTCAAAAATATTTTTTTTTACTCTTGTCGCAATCTTAATTATTTCATAATTTCCATAATTTTCCAGGATAAATGAAAACCAGAACAAATGTGTGCATTCCTTCATTTAGACATTTGTTCAATACTTATTGACATGATCCTTGTACAAAGTGTTTATGCAGTGAAAATCAAAAATAATAGTTATGAATAAACTTTTATTTATTGACACTGATATTTGATATCCCATCAAGTATTCCAGTTTCACTATTTGAAATGATTTTAAAATATTTTCCCAATTTTATCAAATTTTTGGAATTTTTTAAAACATTTTTCACTGTATCACTAGATTTTTTTTCTACATCCACAGTATTCTGTTTAATTCCCCAAGTTGTATATCCTTATCAACAGGTGCATTAGATCCAGAAATTTGTAATTTTTTATTATTTCCAATATCACATTCAAAAGAATAATCCTCACATGATTTTACTATAACCACAGTATTCATTTTTTATTTCATTTCCCCATGATATATATCCACATTAACCAATATTAGATACAGAATTTTATAACAATTATTCCAATATCACATTCAAAATTGTTATCCTCACGTTATGATTTTTTTTGAAATATTTTACTTTTATTTTTCACTTTATGACTAGATTTGACTATATCCACTGTGTTCACATTTTATTTCATTTTCTATGATATATATCCCATTTAAACTTGAGAATCATCTTCATGTTAGATCCAGAATTTTATAATGATTATTTTCAAAATCACATTTAAAAGCCACAGAGAAATGTTGGATAAACGTATTTCTTCTACTTGTATTCTAGTTTTGATTTTTTTTACCTTTTAGATTAACTAAATTCCATCTTATAAAAGTGAATTCCCTTGAGTGAACACAGTATTTTTATGCACACAAATTCTAATAAATTTCAAAGATAAACACTGCAAGGTATACTCCAAAATTATTTCGAATTTTACATGTACATCATCATGTGAAAGCCACACAAAACATTTTGAATGAACTATTTACTCCTTGATACATTCATGACAATCCATTCTTGTAAAATAACAAGTCACTTTATTTAAGCAAAATTAGATGGCATCTAAGAAGTGAATTCAAATGAAATAAATCCCAATATTTTATGCATATTGATTCCAATAGTTTTCAAACACTTCGAATAATACTCCAAATGAAAAATTTTAAGGGATATATGAAGAAATACATAACATGTCCATCTGAAAACTGAAACTGAAGACAGCTGCGTTGATATTTTTGCAGTTATTAAGGTAATTAAAAAAGATGCGGATGATACCAAAGGGGCATTCAAAAGTCGGAGATAAACCGACAAACCTATGACACTGAACGAAAGACGAAGAAAAGACAAACAAGTTTCTCGTAGGTCATCACGTGGTCAAGTGGTTATAGATCCTTTACTTTCAAATTTTGTGGTTAGAGGGTTCTTGATGAAAGTAAATCCAAATAATAGCCTTGCATTTGAACTTTATCAGAAAACATCACAAAGGTACAATTTATTTTTTAAATGAATCCATTTCAAAGGCATTGTTGCTAAGATAATTTCATCAAAATAGTATAAGATAGGCTCAAAGTCTGCCCATTTTTTGAAAAATTCTTCGAAATACGATGAGTGAGTACATTTAAAGGAGATACATGTAAAGCTTTTGGTAAACATTAGCCGCAATCTAAGATCCAAAATTTTAAATATTGGTTGCTGTTTTTTATTTCTTGTTAACAGTAGAGGAAGACACGCATTTGTTCAATGCACAGAACAAACTATGTAGAACTTCAATGCTAAAAAAAAAATTTCAAACAGGTTTTAGTATGTTTCAAGAAATAAATTACCAAGTTAGTGTTTATAAAAACGCATTATTGTTTGTAATTCATATATATTAAAATACTGTATCACTATTTGTAAGGTATATTTGTAATGCTTTTCAATATAAAAATGGTGGCATACGTTGAATTTGGAGGTAGACGTTTACAACAAATTGTCGGCATTTCTATAGGAACGAACTGTGCGCCTCTCCTGGTCGACCTCTTCTTATTTTCACATGAGTCGGAGTTCCTTCAGATACTTGTCAAAAACAAGAAGATCAAAGAAGCCAGATCATTAAATTCCATATTCAGATATATTGATGATGTTCTTTCCATAAACAATCCAAACTTGTCTGATTGGGTTGCATTAATATATCGTCAAGAACTAGACATTAAAGAAACAACAAACACGGCTTCCTCCGCCTCATTTTTAGACTTATACTTCGAATTTGACATAAGCGGTCATCTCAGTACCAGAATCTATGACATACGAGATGGCTTTAATTTTGAAATTATCAATTTTCCCCACCTTAGTAACAATATACCAACTTCAGATGCATATAGGATATACATTTTCCAACTCTATCGGTATTCAAGAGCTTGCAGCTGCTACTCAGACTTTATAAAACGTCACCAGTGTCTGAGAAGAAAGTTAATGAACCAGGGTTTTATCAGAGAACGTATCGTACTTTTTCTAAAAAAAAAGTTCATCGGATGATACCAAGACCTTGTTGATAAATATTCCGTATCAACTTCACAAATAATACATGATGGTCTTGAAGTATAAATTCTAGGTACTGACGTTGTTTATCATCTTAATAACGTATTATAGTGTTCTTTTATTTGATTTTTTAAATTATTAAACTTTACTGTTTAGTCCGTTGTTTTACACAATATGGACTGCTGTACCCCTATTTTTGACATTTTTACCTATAATGTCTGTTTGTTTTGTTCACACATTGTTGTCAATATAATGGAATTTTATGCGACTTTCATACAAGTGAGAGGTTTAGCTAGCTATAAAACCAGGTTCAATCCACCATTTTCTACATAAGAAAATGCCTGTATCAAGTCAGGAATATGACATTTGTTTTTCATTCGTTTGACGTGTTTGAGCTTTTGATTTCGCCATTTGATAAGGGACTTTCCGTTTTGAATTTTCCTTAAAGTTCGGTATTTTTGTTACTTTACTTTTTTTTTGTAGTGCCCGAGTTTGAAAATGTAGAAAATGTTGTATCTTTAACAGTCCATGTATCTAACGATCTGTTCTATAACGATTTTCCCGGGGCATTTAAAATTTCCCCCTTCGACTATGTTTACCATTTCATAGTACATTTTAACTTCCTACCAATTGTAACCCTGTCATTGTCATTAATAATCAACGGGATAGATCAGGGAATTCAAAAATTTGTCTGCTTATAGCATATGGTTAAATAAGATGTCCGAAAAATCGGAACAGGTCTATATTGTATATCATATTTAACAAATCAAATCACCCGAGATATTTGAAAATGTAAGATTTATCTTCACATTAACACTCTTAAATATCCCAAAAAGGTCTCTTCTTTTCTAACATTAAGTACAAGTATATAACATAAGAGCTAGACTTAAACATGTTAAATCACTTGCAAAGAAGACGTATAAATTTATTCAATTTCAGCATTTCGTAGATGTTTAACGAGGAGCATTTCCGATTTACTGCCAAGTATATCAAGTAAGCATAAAAATTACCGATAACCATTGGTCGCATTAGTTTTCTTATAACAAAGTGATTGATATTAACTTGGCATGATGCGACAGAAAAAAAAAGCATATTTTGTGATTTATCGACACGAATCGTCACATCAAGTGTGTACCATTTCCAACTTATCCACAAGATAATAATTGGTGTTGGCTATGAATTAACCAAGAAAATTTGAGTGACTTGAATTTTTAAAATACCAAGTTCTTATATAAAAGTAGAAAACAGCGATAACTTTATTAGAGAAACAACTTCGTGCCAACGTTACAATACTGATAATTTAGAGTAACAGATCAAATGATAATTACCTCAAAGGAAGATACACATAATACAAAGACCTTAATGCTACTTTAAAGTAATGCACAGAAGGAGGTCATTTCTATTTAGTTATGTTAAAATTTGTTTCATTTTCACATTTTCACAAGTCACGTGACTTTTGGAAAGCTACCACGTAGCCTAAAAAGACAAATTATCTTCAAATCTAATTTTCTGAATTATTGAAGCAATTATCTTTCAAACGAATCCAATATGGCTTGTGCATGACCTTTGGTGCGAATGCAGTATTCAATTAAACTTTCGAAGATTCTTTTCGATAAGTAAGAGTTTAAAATACCTGAAAGGGAGAGGGTGAAGTCTAATGCTTAAAGTCTGTCAGTTAGTATATTTTGCTTCGATAGATAATCAAAATTTAAATAACATATTTTCCCTGTCAATTGTTTTTTTATAAGTTCTCCTTAAAACTCTCACAATCATAATGGAACTTAGACGTTAATGATAATTTGGTTTTAATTTTTATGTGGATATTTCACTTCCTAGACGTAAGACACGCTAAACGCTTTTCGTTATTTATTTTAATCAGAAAAAACAAGTTTAGTTGAAAGTATTGATATTATCATGACCGTTTGCATTTTGCTGTTTTTTTTTGTTGTTTCTGGACCATGCATTTGTTTTTTTCTTGTTTAACATTAATTGTACGTCTGTTTTTCTTCGATGGAGCAATTTGTAAATATTTGATTTGATCTGTTGTGCTGCTCTGTACTTTTGTTGATTCTTGTTATTTTTTATTGTATGATTGAACTTTTACCAATGCATTGTAATATAAAGTTATTTATCAAGAAGTATGTTGGATTCCGAATATATATAATTAAATAATTATTCTCCTCTTTTCTATATATAATTTAGAGTAGATAAGCAGCATACCTTTTATTTTAGTGACAAATAAAGGTAAGTGTTTGCATTACGTGTTTAGGTGTTATATGCAAACAAGAAGATGTGGTATGATTGCCACTAACTATCGACCAGAGACCTGTTCCAGATGAAAGCAACTATAGGTCATTGTGTATCCTTCAATAATGAACAAAATCAACATAATATAGTAGGCTGCTATAGAATGATATTATCCGGTTTTAGACACATGGGCAGAGAGAAGCATATTATGGAGTGTACATTTCTCATTTGGTTCGATAATATTTGAAGTGAAGTCATTGATTTCAATAAACGCAATTTTTATACAGCTATATTTTCTTGAGCAAGGATTTAGAAACCAGTAATGGGTAAAAACATTTATTTAATCAAATATTTAAATATTTATTGTTGAAGTATGATTCCATATGCAGGCATTCAATCAAAAGTGATATATCTTATCAAGTATTCTAAAACAGACAATTCTTCAAAACTAGCAAGTCTAGAAATTGTCATTCAACTCTTTCTCTTTGACTTAATATATTTATTTATAAAGTTATAACTATACAGTTGTTGTCCTGTTATAGTGTCTGGATGTCTTGTAAATATCAATGCGCTAATATATTGTTTGAAGCATTACACTATTTTATATTTCTGTTTAGTATGTTCTAGGCATTGCACAAGATCTTGTCTTCTTATACTGTTTATAACATTGCTATATGAAATTTTCTATGATATACAACAATCGATATAAGAAAATAGGATTCCTTATCATCTTATCATTTATTAATTACTCTAACCTTTCTTTTATTAATTGTGAGTATTCTTTTAATACGGTATAGTTTACTATTGTCTTTTTTTTCCGTTATCTAATATATCGTTATTTAAAAGTTACGTGCGTTTCTTGTACTGATTTTTATATGTACTGTTAGGTAAGTTTTTCGTCCATCCATCGTGTTTAAAATGAGTGATGTAATCTTTATTGTAACATTATTATGAAAATAAATACAACCTGATGTCATTCTTCAGTGTCCTATAATTTAAAAGTAAATCTTGTTTTAACACAGAAATACATCAATGAGACTGCAATTCAACGACTGATAATAACCAAAAGACTTATAGTTGGCAACACACATTCTTCAACAATAGACTGCTTGTCTTTACATATTATCAACCTCTAAATCACGAGTCTATAGGTTGCACTTTGTAAATACAGCTGTTTCACAAACCACGCCTCTTTTGGGGATATAAATATAATAATCATAGATATTTTGTTTTGTTTACGTACTGATTCCCAGATATGATCTCTATGTTTCATCTCATAGAGACATAACTTGGTAATATTACCAGTATAAATAACAATAAATAGCGGCCGCCTTGAATTCTGAGGAAGACCCAAAGTAAAGGGAGGGGTAGTACAGAATTTTAGTATAAGTTTAAACTCTTAAAAGTTCGGGGCATATAAATGTTGAAAATATACCGCACAGCCCTATATTTTGACCTTTGAAAAAAAATGGTAGTGCAAATGAGCTTTCCATTCTAGGAAATAATTTTTTTCGAAACTTCATAGTAAAAATGATACAGTTTTCGCCGTAAAAGGAGTTCCTATGGGAAATTGCACTGTCTATATTTACAGAAATGCAACCTAAAGACGCTATAAATGATTTAAAAAGATAAGAACGGAATCGCGAAGGACTTCTTACAAACGTTGTTGCCCTACATAGCATGCTAAAACTTTTTTTTTCATTTTTGCTTATTATCTTGAAAGCTATAGTTGATAGACAGAAAATTGATTCCGCAAACAGTGACTTGGAAGACAAGATTTTCACCTGCACTTTTTCAAGTTTTCATTGAACATTTATACTTGCGTTGCAATATATCAATGTTAAGTAAAAATACTAAGTGAGTGAAAAAGACTCATCGGAGCCTCTTGGTTGGTCATTGTGTTATTTATTATCCTTAGACTTATGCTTGGTATGCCTTTTGGTATTCTTTTACTTCGTGTTGAGTTACAATCATTCTCAAACTATCATAGCTACACGTGTATTTCATACTCAGCCACGACAAATGGGAGCAATTACTTTCGAATATAGTCCCCGTTTATAGGTAGAACAGAGTCCATCAGGTGGTGATTTTCATTTTAAACTCAACACTCAGAAACTGGTATAAC